AAGCAAATTTGAGCTAAATCACTAGGCAAAACAAGGGGATTGAGAGGAAGAAATTCCCATCTATGAGATAAAGCTTCATGCGCCAACAAATCCACGCTGCGACCATGGTCGCAGCAGTCCCTTGCGACCCCCAATCAAACACGGATACATCGCAGTGATTTATTTGGGGTTGCAAGGGAGTGTCGCAACCACGGACATAGCACATTTGAACTTCCTACTCATGCTACTACATGAAATAATATCCTTTAGATGACTTCTCTGGACGTAAGGGTGTCAATGGATCGGTTTTGTATTGGACCCCATTCAGTCCAAAATCAATTTGGACGAATTGGATGGATCAATAAGACATATTGGATTGAACCAATCCGGTCCAAAATATTTATTAGATTGGATTGGACCTAATCCGTCTGTAATAAATTTATATTGGATTGGGTTGGATTAAGCCAATATTTGATCCATTGATATAAGATAAGAATATAAGTGAATGAATCGGGTTTAGGTTGAAACCAATCTAAATCAAAAGTGAATTTGAACAGATTGAACGGTCCAGACATTGAATTGGACCAGTCTAAATTGGTCCAAAACATTCATTGGATTGGATTGGATTGGACCTGATCCATTTATAATGGATTCACATTGGACTGGATCGGATTGGACCAAATCCAGTCCAATTAACACCCTATCTAGACGTCTCAACTAGCAAAGCAATTCCCTATTGGCCTTATGTTTCCAATTACCTAATTCCTTCATGTTTCCAATTACCAAGATTACCAGAAGCTCTAGCTCTAGCATTTTGTCAAGGTCTGAAGCTGGCGAATAATATAGGAGGAAAGATTTTGTTGGAAAGTGATTTCCAATAAAAGAAATATCCTTCTAGCTAAATGATGCAGCGTTTCAGGCATGGTTTTCAAAACCAGACCGGACCAGATGGTTGGATCGGAAAAACCGAGAACCGGTCAAGTGATCAGTTTCGGTTTTTTTCAAAACCGAATTTTTCATAAAAACCGTTGATTTTGGTCAGCAAACTGCTGACTCGAGCGGTTAATCATTCGAACAGTTGGACCGTTTGACCTGGTAACTAGACCCCTGACCGGTTCGGTCCGGTCTCTGGGACGGTTTTAAAAACCATGGTTCCTGGTGCAGGATATTCTGAATTTTTTGAAAGATAGAAACATTTCTGTTGTCTTTATAAATAACAATGCAAACTCTATGGCACATAACCTTACTGTTGGGGGTTTGAAAGAATCTGGCTTGTATATTGAGGCTATCCCAGGCTGGATCCGGGAGCTAGTTCTGAAAGATGTTTCATCTGCTTTCAGTAATTAATTTAGACCCCATTTGGTTCGTGGGAATAGGGGTCTGAAATCGAAATCGGAATGGGTTATTCTGATTTTAACTGTTTGGTTGGGTGGAATTGGAATCCCATTCCTATTCTTGATAGAATAACATTCCCTCATTTGAAAGGATGGCCATTCCTTGTCTTCTCTTAGGAATGAAATCTTATTCCTGCTGATTCTAATTTTTATTCTCATTTCTGTCTGAACCAAATAGATTATGAGAATGGACCATTCCAATTCTAATTTCAATTTTGACTATGTACCAAACGGACACTTAGTTTTACGAAAAAAATGCTGATAACAAATGGGTGCTCCATCCATGGATGATGGACCTTAGGATATACTTGAAATAAGCCCCACCCAAATATGGATAATGCATGTGGGGGTATTCCGTATTTCCCTCTGGGACTGGGTGCAGACTGCAGAGGAGTTACGAATGCATTAGTTAGATGTTAACCAGGAGAAGGAGTCGAAAGAGGTAGGAAGTGGAGCATTGATGTGGCGAAAGGGGGCCACAAAGAGCAGCAATGGACGATGTGATCTTCGGCAATTATGAGCCTATTCTCTACCAAGTTGTCTAATTCCTAGATCAGGCTGAGCCTAAGCCCATATATATACTCACTCACAAATGGACGGGCCTGACCAGGCATTTCAAGGTAGGCTGGCTTAGAATAGGCTACATTGATTAGACTAAGCTATCTTGGACTTTGTTTTGGTGGGTATCTAGCAGCAACTAGTCTACCATGACCTTATCTGATCTGCCCCAAGTTGGAGCCCAAGTATGAAGTAGCCCTTGGACTTGTTCACTTCATTTCTAGCCTACTTTATCTTTAAGGACAATAATAGTCGACAGCTGATTCATTCAAGGAACCAAAAAAAAAAAAAAAGAATATGCTTTTATCCATATTAGGGTCTTCTGGGGCCAGGTGGATGAGAAAATTGAAAATTGTCCATGCCCCATGGGCCCAACCCAAAATGCCTCTCCCAATAATAGAAGGAAAGCCTGAATTGGCGATGCTGTCCCTTTCCTCCTGCCGTAGGGTAACCCTTGGAATGCACCCAAAACATGCTTAGATGATACAACACAGTTGAATAAAAAATTCGGAAAAAAGATAACAGAATTTCCTTAAAATTCAAGGACACTTTGTTGGGCTCCAAAGCTTGGAATAAGCTTCAATATTCTACCATCTACGGACCCATCTGGTGAAAAAGAAAATCGGAAAAATCATCAACAGAATTTCTTTAAAATTCAACGACACTTTCGTGGGACCCAAAGCTTGGAGTAAACTTCAAATTTCTACCATCAAAAGACCCATCTGCTAGATTAAAGCCTGGTTTTTGAACCATCGTTAATCTAGATGGTTGGACCATTCAGCCCAGAAACGGTTAACAATTAATTCTGATTCACCTTTAACCCATTTTTTTAGCCAAAAATTGTAAATTTTGGCCAGTGATTCATCAACCCGGGTGGTCAAACTGTCAATCTGATTGATCTGCATAATGGTTTTTGCCGTTTTTATTTTTTAAATTAAAATGAACCATTTGTTTAAACTAAATGATTGAACCATTGCCCTAAAAACCTGTTGCCAAAGTGGTTCCAGTTCTGGATTAAAGTTAGTTTTTTAATTTTTACTTGGGAGGAATGGAAAGTGACAAAATCAATGGAGAAATTCTCTTGTTACTTGGGTTTGTGTGTTTTCCTGTTTTAAACTTTTAGTAGAAAATTATTGGAGTCATGGCTGAGTTGGGATTTGGACACACTAGCAATTCGAGGGTACAAAGGCGTCGGATCCATCAACAGTACTGCAGCAAAATACACCACAAATTCCACATGTCAGAAGGCAGCACGGGTGGTGGTGGGTGGTGGNTGGGTGGTGGGAGCACCCTGTGCGGCTTCTTTGCCAACTCTTACCTTTGTTTATGCTCCATTCAATTTAGTGATGTAAGCATCCAAAGAATAAGACCAATTGATCAATTCTGGCTGGATTTGGTTGGCCCAATCGGGTTCAGAGCCCGAATAACAGGTCCGACTTGGGAAGGCTTTCGGGTCGTTTCATGAACTGTGACCCGTACACCACGTGTATAGCAAAGATGCCAATCTACTATGATTTGACAATTCATTCGTTCTATTCTCTTTCAAGTTTCAAGGGCAAAAAGTTTAAAAAAAAAATCAACAAGATAAAAAGTGTTTTTTCTTTTTCTTTTTTTTTTAATTTGGAGAGCAAAAGTAGCAAAAGTGGGGGTGAGATAGTCCAACAGTAAGCCGCCCCTCCAACCATCTGATTGGAATAAATAGTTCACTTATCCCCATCAAAAGTTGCAGCTAGATTCTACATGAATTTGGAATTGGCCACGTTGACATTCACAGTTTCACACATAGACTTCTCTCTTCTCTGTGTGAGGGGGAAAGAGCGAGATGGATTGATGAATGGACGTAGTAGAAGCAGTAGTAGTGGGGATTTTTCGCTGGTTCTGACAGGGCCAGCACCAAAACAGCAGTAAAGCAGTAGCAACAGTCACCATTCAATGCAGTGGTAGAGCAGTGGAAGAGATGGGGAGAGAGAGAGAGTAAAAACGATATCTATGTACGAAGGGATCCGACTGAAAAAAAAAAAAAAGGAAAGTAAAAAAAGACACTCTCTCATTCCTTCCATCATCCAAAGGAGTACCTCCCCCTCTCTCCCACTAGGGAGGGTACCCATCAAAGGGCAGGGTCTAGGGTATACGGATCACATGTATATAGACCCTAAAGGATGGTCCAACTCACCATTCAATCACAATTCAATGGGATGGGCCCCATCTAATAAAATCTAAATTTTCTCAATAAATAACACTTTCTCTTGTAAGTAATTAAACCATTGTTTCCTCTGATACTCTCACCCATGAAGAATCAACATGAGCAACAAGAATTTCAAAGAAACGAGGCAAAACCCATCTTATCAAAATTATCATGGTTGAGCATAAGAGACCCATGAAGTGATGGGTCGGATCTCCCTGGATGTGGTTGTAGTGGATTGTACCATACAACAACGTATGGAAGGATTGAAACAGTTTGCTATCCCCCTAGCCTCTCCCCCTCCTAGAGTATATTTTGATGCCTCAAAATCAGATAATGTTCTCTTTTTTATTTTTATTTTAAATTTGGGGTTCATAATCCTCTTGCATCATTGTCTCTCAAGTTCCTAAAAATCCCTGTTATTGGGAAGCGCGAGGGAAACAAGGGAGATCAAAATCAATCAAGAAAAAGAAGATAGGCAGGGCATCATCATTCATCAGTGCATCTCATCACCACCACACCATAAAACAAACAAACATTTCTGCAGACTGCAATCGCCCTCCCTCTACTGCCATCATCTCCCATGAATCCAGAATGCTGTAGACTCTCGGCTATGGCCACTGGCCACTGGCCACTCCCACTCATCATCAACCCATGAACCATAAACCGTAATAGATAATGCAGCTCTTCTCTCACTCTCCTTGACTGACCTCCTTTTATTAGGTTAGCACAGAGATAATAGATGTATAGACACCAGTAACAGTAGGAGTGGACAGTGGACAAAGCACCACGTAGAGACATATAGGCAAGCAGGCCTATTAACCCCCCCCCCCTCCCATTACAGATCCCAGAAACGCCTTTGCTTCTGCTTCCTCCTTTTTTCGTCTTGTACTCCCTTACTACAAACACCCCCCCCCCTCTCTCTCTCTCCTCTTTAGTTTTTACTCCCCTCTCACTCCCCTCTGAAAGCCATCCTATTCATCAAACCATCCAAAGTTTTTTTTTTACCCAACCCAAAACCATTGGTCTCTCTCTCTCCTATCTGATCATTCATCTCTCGTCCCGTCTTTTCCATCCCTTCTGACGCCTCCTCTGCCCCATCTCCCTCTGCTGCCCTGGCTACTATCTCACCACTTCTCTCTTTCTCTCTCATATCCCGACCCTCTCGATTTAACTCCAAAGTTTAAAGCCCAGACTTCCAATTCTACATCAACTAAAGGGAAACGAAAAACAAAAAGAAAAAGAAAATGTGGGTTTAGATGGATGAACTGTTATCTTCGTCTTCTTCAGAAAAGAAGAAGCTGCAGCAGCAGGAGATATGTTGGTTAGGAGATGAAGGAGAGGCAACGTTGGCAACCCGAAGAAGACGCACTCCTCCGCGCCTACGTTAAACAATATGGACCAAAAGAATGGCACCTCGTCTCTCAACGCATGGGCAAACCCCTGGACCGAGACGCCAAATCCTGCCTCGAGCGGTGGAAGAACTATCTCAAGCCTGGTATCAAGAAAGGCTCTTTGACCCCAGAAGAACAAAACCTCGTCATCTCTCTCCAAGCCAAGTACGGAAACAAGTGGAAGAAAATCGCCTCCGAAGTCCCCGGTCGCACCGCCAAGCGCCTCGGCAAGTGGTGGGAAGTCTTCAAGGAGAAACAGCTCAAGCTGCAACAGCAGAAGCAACAGAAAACCCAACAGCAGCAACGTCTCCTCCCCTCGGACCACCCTGACCCATCTGCACCCTCGCCAACCCCACCACCCACCACCACTCCTGAACGCTCTCTACACGGCCAATACGACCACATTCTGGAAACCTTTGCAGAAAAGTACGTTCAGCCCAAGCTCCTCAAGCTCCACCAGCAGCAACCACAACCATCGCTTCTCCCTTCCTCGTTATTGATGCCTAGTCATCTCCCACTCCCCGAAGCTCCTCCCATTCTATCACTGGCCACCACCACCAGTAGCACCACCGCTGTTCTTCCCGCGTGGATGAATAACCCCAACATGGTCTCGTCAACCTCGTCCTTGTCTTCCTCCTCTTCAGCCACGCCTTCACCGTCTGTGAGTCTCTCGCTCTCTCCTTCGGAGCCGACCGGTCTGGACTCGGTGTCGCAGGAGATGGGTCTGACCCACCAGCGGTTCTTCACGGTTCATCAAATGGGCACGCTTGTTCAGTATTGCAAGGAACTCGAGGAAGGGAGGCAAAGCTGGTTGCAGCATAAGAAGGAGGCTACGTGGAGACTGACTCGGTTGGAGCAGCAGTTGGAGTCGGAGAAGGCGAGGAAGAGGAGGGAAAAGATGGAAGAGGTTGAGGCCAAGATTAGGTCTCTGAGGGAGGAAGAGATGGCCTATCTTGATAAGATTGAAAACGAATGTAGGGAGCAACTGAACGCTATTCAGAGGGATGCCGATGCGAAGGAAGCCAAGATGGTAGAGCTCTGGTCTAGTAAGCATGTTAAACTCGCTAAGCTTGTAGAACAGATGGGTATTCACAGCTTCCCTCTTACAAAGGACTTGCATTAACTCACCACTGTTTCCGGTTGAATTCTGATCTTTTGATGATCGATCGGTCGATTCTATTTCTTTTTTTTTTTTTTCCTTTTTTCCTTTGGGCAATATAATCTAGTCTTTGCATTTGAAATTATGGGTGTCTTTCTGAGTTCAACTATTGAAATGGGTTGATTTTAATTCTATGTTTTATAAACAATTGTTACATCTGTTCCAGACAAAGCGAGGGAGAGAGAGAGAGAGAGAGAGAGAGAGGGGGCGGGTGGGGAGGTAAGTCGAGTAACCAGTGGTCAGTAACTCAGTATCAGACCAGGCTTAGCTTGCTGCATGTTTTGTCCAATCTGCTTCAACATTTTTGTTTAAAGCGAATGTGAGTAATAAAAGAGAGCCTCTGCTCTACTATTTTTTTTGTTTTCATATCAAGCATTTAATGAAACCAAACACCTCAAATTCTACGCTACGTCATATGACAAGACTATCCTACACTGGTTGGGAAAAAAATATTAAGCAAAGTATAATCGAGAAAAAAAATTGGTAGTCAATAGATGTATGAAACGGTAAACGGTAAGCATCACTCAATGGGTGATAAAAAAAAAAAAACAGAAGTCCAATTTGATCATTTGTTGTATGTACTCTGGTAGAGAAGAGAAGATTGCCTACTTCCTAGTTTGAGGTTTAATAATTGACCCCCACCCACACCCCTACTTTGAGTTACCAATCCATATTGGGTCCAGACCAGAGCTCTTCCATAGTGCCACGTGGCAAGTTTTACCCCCTAAGATGCGAAAGAGTAACTCTTCTCGGTCTACAATTTGATTAAATTCAAGAATTGAAGTGTTGTTATTCATGGGGAAAAAAAGGTGTAATATACGGCGGGTATGGACTAATGTGGACAAAGAAAGTAGCTAATGCGGACAAAGAAATCAAGTAAGTAGCTAATGAAGAGAGGAGAATGCTCCCCATCAGAAGAACAAAGGGGTCTGCCATGTCAGCTCTCTACGTGACAGAAACCCCTAGTCATGGTAAATTTCAGAACCCTCGGTAACACGACGAAAAAATTTCTTTTCTAGAAAACTCTTACATTACTTCAGGTCTTTAGCACAAAGGAGCCTATTTGTGATAGCACCTGACTATGAGAAGTGCTTTCGCAGTTTTGGGACCCAAAAAGTACTTCGCCTGTAAATAAGGGTGCTTGGAGCAATGTAACCGTAGGACTGAAGAACGTCCAAACTCCAACAAGAACAGCTTGTTCAGCCCCATAAGCAAAAGCTACTAAGGTCCCGGTCCGGCTTCAACTTTATCCTATCTCTGACATAAGTTTGGCGCTAATCAAATTCAAGTGATTGAAACGGTTGAGCATCGACATTGCTCTCCCACCTTCAATCTCCTGAAACCGGATTCATTCTCCTCTTTCAATCAGGGTCCTTCATTAACTTCTCTGTCCACTCTCTAGCCTTGAATTTTCCATTGTAAACATCAACCAGAAAAGGATGATCCTGTGATTGAAAATGGCTTGGAGATTGAACAGTTAGGGTTGTCCGATCAAAAATTATTTGGGAGAGGACCAACCAGTACTCTTAGTAGTGCCGCCTACCATACCCTTAATGAAGATGACAATACACCAAAATACCAAATGCTGATTGCTGATGCTAAACGAAAAGGAAATTGACTCTAAAATAGTTCGAACTTCAATGAGCGACATACTTGTCAGGAGAGAGAGATGTAACAAAATCTGTAGCCCATACATATTTTTTTGGACCAACATGTCTCTTGTACTGGCTTCAATAACTGCACTCACCCACCACACCTGGACCTCTTTAGGTCAAGGCTTCCAGCTACAATTTCTCTTTTCAGTTTTTCACAACGCTATCCTTGGAAATTTTTATATCCAATAAGCAATTACAATTTTTTGGCATTTCTCAGCTAATGAAAACTCAATATGAGATTAAGAAAACAGTTAATCAGTACCGTATGAAAACACGGACTTCCCAATCCACACAGGTAAGGAAATTTACGGGAATAGTATCCCAATGAAAATAACTATATCCCTAAAAAATTCCTCAAAATAGTAAATAACAATAACCACACCAGCAATCTATTTTTCCATGCTAGGGAAAATGGTTTATTTTGAGGAAACCTTTTGAGTTAGCTGTGAATGCAAATGGTCTATAAATGTCTGTACAGGTTGCAAAGTTGTTCTACCGACTTCCTGTTCATGGTACAAGTGCTGCTATCTCAGGCAGGCAAATGGTCTATTTTGGTAAGGACTTTTTTATTTTCCTTTATTTTCGAAGTTTGTACAAGAAACAAGGGCCTTCTCGAGGGACAATGAAATATACTATCGAAAAAGAACAGCTCTTAAAAGACATGCATCGCCCCAAAATTGCTAATAAAGTTACCATTTCTTATATCAGGACTTTGTCAAGATTTCAGCACCAGTCCTGGTAATCAATATAGTGTGCTCAAACTGTGCGGCAAGGCTGCCATCAGCTGTAAGAATTGTCCAATTGTCACTCCATGTTATGCACTCAATATTTCCAGCAGTAAGAATAGGTTCTGCAGTGAAAAAAAAAAAAAGTTGAAAATAAATGTGGAATAAGACTAGGTAAGGTGCAATTACAACGTTAACCTAAGATTTCAAAAAGTAATAAACACATGGAAAATAATTGGTTAGTCCCTGGAACATATTTTGGCCAGTCCCTCGTGTCTTAACCATTCAAACATCCCTACAGTGCTATATTATCATTATCATCTAAGTCTTGCCCAACTATTTGGGGCCAGCTACATGAATCCTGTTTCACCATTCTGTGTAGTGTCATATCCATTGTTAAAATATGAGTGCTTAAAATAATTTCTTATTACATCAACCCATGTCCTGTTTTTGGTCTGCCCCTAGCCCTTCTAACCCCTTCAACCTGCAATAGTTCGCTTCTTATGGATGATGTAGATGGTCCTCTATGCATGTGACCAAACTATCTTAGTCTACCCTCTCATTTTATCACCTGTGAGAGTTACTCTTAAATTCCTTCAAATGACTTCAATCCTGACTCTATCCTTTCTAGATTCTCCACTCATCCTCTCAACATACGCATGTCTGCCACACTCATTTTTATGGACATGTTTCTTGATTATCCAACACTTTGATCCATAAAGAATTGCTGACCTTATTAACTATAGAATTTTCCTTTTAACCAAAGTGGTATTGAACTATCACATGAGACTCTGGGTGTGTAGTGTGCCCCTACATTTTGCCAATCTTTCTCTAATCGAGTGGCATCCTCTCCCTTATTATGAATTATTGAACCAAGGTACCGAAAGAGATCACATTGTATCCTAATTTGCACTCCTATTATATTATTAAAATTACATAGCATATATTATGTTATAGTTGTACTTATTTTAAAACCTCTTGTTTCCAAGGTAGCTTTCTATATATTGTTGAGTTTGAGTATAGCCAAATACAACCAATGCACTTCTAAACTGATCAAACCAAGCTCTGGGTGATTGCTTCAAACCATATAGAGACTTCTTCAATCTACATACATTTCCTTTATACACATCATTGTAAAAGCTAGTTGAAAGGTTCATGTACACCTCTTGCAAAGTCCCCATTAAGAAAAGTATTCTTCACATCAAGTTGGAAGAGTGGCCAAGAGTATATAGCTTCTAGTGATAGAAGAATCAAGACTGAGCTCATCTTTGCCATTGGTGCAAAAGTCTCCAACTAATGTATGCCATAAGTCCGAGTGTACCCTTTTGCAACCAACCTCGCCTTGTACCTTTCTATACTTCCATCAGCCTTGTACTTCACTGTATAAACTCATCTACATCCAATTGCCTCCTAGGCATCAGGTAAATCCACAATCTCTCATGTTTGATTTTTAATCAATGCTTTCATTTCCTCCTGTATAGCTACCCTTCACTCAGGTCTAGAGAGAACCTCACTGACACTCCTGGGCATAGACATAGAGCCGAGGGAGGAAAGGAAGGCCCGATACGATGAGCATTCATCTTCTTGTTAGGGTTAAAATGCATTTTCTTGCAAAGGAAAATTTATAAGGTAGACCCCTCTTAATTGCATTATCAAGGGTATAATATTTCTATACCCACTACATGTCTAGATACAAACATCATTACCATGTATATGTACAGAAGTTGCAGGCAGCATATTATTCCATATTAAGTTGACCAAATGGCTGGAGCCAATCTTCATCCCTAATCTCCTACCCATGCTACATGACGGAGATTTGAGTTTACTTTTCTTTCTCCACTTCCAACCTTTTAATTGGCTTCCATGGATATGGTGTTGGCTTTACCACCTCCAACAAAACCAATGGTGAAAATTATTGTAGCAATTTCTGTTCTCTTAATTCAATTTATTTACTAGTACCTATACACCATTTAACAATAAAAGACAATTTATTTACTAGTATTCAATTATGCTAAGGGCGTGTGCATACTTTTACAGTCATTGCTGGAAGATGATTGTACTTGAAGAGAAATAAAAGCCCTGCTTCGCCTCATATCATAAAGTTTCCAGTTATTATAAACTTGAAAATGTACTCACCAATAGTAAATGTTTGGCCTTCAACCATGAACCCAGGTTTTTCATTGCCTGTCAAGCAATTCACAATCAAATTAAGAAGATAAGAAAGGCACTGACCAAATTAAAAACAGAAGAAACGTTTTTAACTTGGAAATTATTTAGTCAGTCATTGGTCTTGTAAAGGAATCTTTCTAAAGTAGCTTTATATTACTACTCATGAGTGTTATTTTAAAATTAGAAACTTATCCAATAAGTCCAATACGATGCAGGACAAAAACTAACTACATTTAGAATAATAAAGGCCTCCCTTTACAATGACCAAATTAGACTCAAAAACTAACCCAAAACAACTCCTAATTGCATTAGAACCAAGACAAACCAGTAGGTAACCTATAGGGACATTCAAATAAGAATTCTAACTACTAAATCTGGAAGTCAAAAGGGACAAGTGTAAAGAACCTATTCATTTATTTTACAACCACTAAGGGCACTGAGAGTTTCATCACTACTATTGGACACAACCAAAACCAAAATAATCTGGTAAAGTTATCATCTTTCAGTCAAATGGCCCATTTTTGGAGATAGATATGTACCCCTTGGTGTATCCACCATTATGTAAATTGCCATGGCATTTGAAAGTATGGGTGCCAATTGGACTGGATTTGGTCCAATCCGATCCAGTCCGATGTGAGTCCATTATAAATGGACCAGGTCCAATCCAATCCAATGAATAATCTGGACCAATTTGGACCGGTCCAATTCAATGTATGGACTGTCCAATCTGTTAAAATTCATTTTGATTTAGATTGGTTCCAACTCAAACCTGGTCCATTGACACATATATTCTTATCTTATATCAATGGACCAGATATTGGCTTAATCCAATCCAATCCAATATAAATTTGTTACGGATGGACCAGGTCCAATCCAATCTATTAAATATTTTGGACTGGATTGGTCCAATCCAATGTCTTGTTGGTCTGTCCAATCCGTCCAAATTGATTTTGGACTGGACGGGGTCCAATCCAAAACCAGTCCATTGACACCCTTACTTGAAAGAAAGGAAGAAAACAACCAATTCTTTATGAACTAAAGCAATTTTTGTGACAATCTTTGTGAAGGATACAACATCCTTCTATTTTAGCAATCTTTAAAACATGAAAGAAACTAACTTATCAAAAAAAAAAACATGAAAGAAACTAATCTTAATTTCAAGTATGATTTTAGCATTTTGGGGGATCAAATTGGGCAATCTAATTCACTGATGTACTTTTTCCTTCATAGATGCAGCCCTCCAATTTAGTCAGGGATGTGCAGTACAGTAAAAAGCATTATTCATCATAATCACCATCTAAGCCTTATCCCAACCATATGGGGTCGACTACATAAATTATGTTTCACAATTCCATTCTATTAAATGCTATATCCATTGTTAAATTATAAGCACATACTGTAAAAAAACATTATCATGGGAAATTTGGTTTACATGATAAATATATAATCAAAGAAGAAGATTTAGATGCACAACTCACAATAATACTGATTAAATTTGTTAGGAATCTTAGTGAGATAATTACCTTTTTCTTAGCTTGCCCAGAAAATAAATAGCATACTTTGGCATTTATCTTAGGGCCATTTATTTTCCTTTCCTTATTTAAAATAATATAAACTGGTTCATTAGGTTACATTCTACTGTGAAGAAATCAAAGATTGATCAAAATGTATTTTCTACAAATATAATAAGTTATGCCAAGTGAAGAGAATAATGTAAAAGAAATGATAATAAGCTATTACTTACGGTAATGTAATATAATTGGTTCAGAGTGAAAGACTGTCCCTATGCCATGCCCAACAAATCTCTTCACCACATTATATCCAAAATTTTCGGCATGTTCACTGAGATAGTATGGTGTTAACAAAGTCAATCAGGATTCTCAAAAAATATTCCAACCCAAACTAAATATGCAAAACAACAGGAAGAGTTGGCAATAGATGGCATTATATATTTTTTTGATCATTAAATATATATTTTATTGAAATTCAGATTGTAACGAGTTTATACAACTTGGTGATGGGATTGTTGATCCCCTTTAATCACTCTATTCTACCCCTCATTACAGTGCAGCCCAAAATAGTTGCTGTCTCAATGCCCCCTGTTTTGCTAATCCATCAGCTAGTCCATTTGCACTTCTTCGGACCCATTTAAATTCAGCCTCAACCTTCTTTGCAATCTTCTCCACCTCCCTAATCATACGTTTAAACGTCCATGGGGTATGGCTGCTATTTGTTGCCCATGAAATTACTACTTTTGAGTCCCCTTCCACTTCAACATGTCTGCATCCTAGTTGTTTGGCTAGCTTTAACCCTTGTAGTAGTGCCAATAGTTCAGCCTTCAGCGAGTTTTCGTTGCCAATCCGTCCTGAGAACATACCCAATATCCTCCTGTCAGAGTTTCTTAATACTCTTCCAATTCTTGAGATGCCTGGATTTCCATAGGAGCCATCAAAATTCAGTTTTACTTTATTGCCTTCTGGTGGTTTCCACTCCAGCCTTGCTTTATCTCTTACTCTCAAAGATTGTGCTACTTCGGGCCATGTTCTTAGAATGTCTGCGACGGAAAAGACTTGAAAGCTGTCCAAGGGTTTTACCCAATAGATGGCATTATATCCTAAAGAATGGCTAATAACTGTTGGCATGAAGTCAATTTAATGATTAAATGAGGAGCATGTCAGTATGAAGTCAACTTAATATATCAGAAAGTAATAATTGCAGGCCAGATGGTACATTTCGTGGGGGTCATATGTCATAACTTACAGCTGGAACCAAATTCCATCTTCAGACTCTAAAACCAATCACTGATTCTTTTTCACCAAATGAAACGTTTCCTTTTCTAATTGCACATAAAGGAAAAGTTACATGTAGTAATAAAGGTACAATTCTTTGGTCAGGCATATACACTATTAAAGTGACTGAATACTAAAAAATGTAACTCACCATGGCCACATGGACAGTCTAATGTCTAAATGCCAGACCTGAAATAAATTAACTCAGTGACTGAGAACGATGCCAAGCCACATCATAGACATCCATAGTACATTTCAAAAAATAAACTCTCCCCCTCTAATTGGAAATCTTGCACGTACTACATTCTTCCCAGCAATATTTTCATGTACATCTTATAAAACAAGAAAATGGAGCATTCCCCAATCCAAGGTGGTAGTGGGCTGGCTACAAAATCTGGAATCTATAGTGTGGTGTTTTAAGAATGAAATTAAAAAATTCAACTGCATAACAAGAAGCTTGACAGTGAGAATACAATGGGTGGGGAGATCAGCAAACTCTATGGCTAATGGTCTTGCAAAGCAAGGGGTAAATAGGGAAAGTTTGTATTGGGCTCAATTGTAGACTGAATCTGTTTTCTATCTTTTGTCTTTCTTCCTACTGTTAGGAGAGGACACAGCTCGTGCCTCTCCACGGGAAGCTTGTAACTGCATTAGTTTTTTATTAATGAAATTTATCCTTCTTATTTATCAAAAAAAAAATCTGACATACAATTAACATAACTGATATACTAGTAAATTTCTTGATGTCAGTGTAACTACAAAAGAAAAATTAGAAAAGATTAAGCAACTTACCTGATCCTCTTTCCAATTTTCTTAAAGCTAGCACCATCTTTGCATACAGATATAGCCCTCTCCAAGCATTCTTCAGTGACCTAATATACAAGAAAATAATGAATTGGGACCCAGGTAGGAAAACAATGATAATGATGATGATAGATTGACAATAATAGCAGTATGTGTCATGTGCAAGTCTAGGACTAGTAGTAGCAGCAGCAGCAGTGTTTCTAAAGTTAGCAATGCAATTATACCTTCACAAGGCGTTTTGTAGCATCATTAACATTCCCACAAAGAAATGTCTTTGAAGTATCACCATGATAACCCTAAAATTGAAAGTAATCCAATCACATAATAAAGAGAAATATCAGTCATCAAAAATAAATGATAAGAAATAGGAAATGCTATAGATATTGTAAATTATGAAGATAAGAAGTGAACTACAAAATTTTGCAACTCATCAGCCTGTGAGGCATTTACATTATGTCCACTAAAAATTGAAAAGAAAATATACATATTTAGTTAAACCAGTCTGCCTTGATTCTTGTTTTTCTTTGATTGTGAAAACAATATTATTGAATCATGTCAAAATTGTTCCAGCTTGTGGACTCAATGGAATTCTTTCATTAGTTTTGATATTGGCAATATAGCTTATGCCTTTTCTTCCTATTTTATATATATACACTTCAAGGTGCAACCCCCCCCAAACACACACACATATCTATACACTTCAAGGTGCAAAAAACAAAAGGAGAAAAAAAAAAGATTCAACATAAGGACAGGGAGGGGTTAATGAGCAAAGCTGTAGAAAAGTGCTTTGCTGCTTCTTAGAATTCAAAAGTTGTACTTTTGGAATAAATTGTGTTGCCTAAATGTTTTCTTCTAATTCTTTGGGCATATGTGAGTTCTGTATCCTCTTTTTAATTCTAGGTGCAGTATTTGGATCCTCTGTTACAAAGATTAGGGGGAGATTTTAATGCCATCAGATTATCTCATGACAAGAAGGGTGGTTCCATACTGCAGGTACAAGGGGTTTTGCCTTGTTTATCAATCATCATGATCTGATTGATCCCCCCTTTCTGGGACTGCATACACCTGGACAAATAACCAATCATATCCCACACTTGTCAAATTTGATCTTGCCAGAATGGGAAGAACACTTGGGCTGAGAGGAATAGTAGAATTTTCTGTAATAAAGCTAAAAGTCCTGAAGATATCATTCAGAGAGCTGTGGGAAAGCTGATTTCTTGGATATCTGTATCTGAGGAATTCAAAAGTCTAAATTTGTCTTCTTTTTCTTGCTCTAATTTCTGGTGGAGAGTGTAACTGCTGTGGTTTTCAGGCTGTCCTTCTGGGTCTGAACCCAGCTTGTATGTTTTTTTGAGCTGAATAAAATTACTTTACCTTTTCCAAAAAAAAAAAAAAAGAATGGGAAGAACACTCCCCAGCCACTCATCAAGAAGCCCTGTGCAGGCCTCTATCTGACCACTTGTCCACTCCCATCTGCTCCTGGTCAAAGGTTGTATTTTTCACGCCCCTAGGTTCTTCCTATTTCAAGAATTAATGACTAAGAGAAGATGGTTTCGTTCACAAGGTCTGGGATTGGTGGAATTCCTGTGAGGTTGTGGGTACAGGACCTCGTGGCCAAGAAACTCCAATTCATTAAGAGAAAGATTAAGAACTAGGGGCACTGAAGGTTCAATGCAGACAGAGACAGCTTATCATTGATAAATGCGGTCTGTAGGGCTGCAAGTCAAGATATAACAGTCTCTGCCACTAGCAAGTCAATCTAGAAGAGCACTTACAAGGTTCTGCCACATTTCCTAGAAGGCATCTCCCTTAAGGTGGGAAACCGTGTCAGGTTAAGGTTCTTGCACAACTGCTGGTGTGGGAAAAGGCCTTTGGGTTTCCCCTCCCTATTTAGCACGCAGAAAACAAAAACATGGAAACGGTTGATATGTCATCCTGGCAGAATTCCTTTGGTGGATGGTCACCTAAATTCAGATGAAATCCCTATTATTGGGAGATTGGGCACCTGGCAGAGATGCTCAGCCTCCAAAATCACCATATTGACCCATACACTGAAGATAGAAGAATTTGGAAATGGGAGAAATCTGGGCCTTTTTCAGTCAATTCCATTGTCCATCACTTACATCATCCAACTCTACAAACTTCCTCCACAATATTTTCCTGGCCATTAAAATAACTTCTAAGGCAGCATTTCTTGTATGGATAGCTTTGCTTGGCAAGTGTCTAACCAAGGATAAGCTCATCAGAAGAGATCTTTCTATTCCTTCTACAAGCTACTCTTTCTTCAACCACCAATCTGCTGATCAACTCTTTCTGCAACCACCAATCTGCTGATCAACTCTTTCTGCACTACTAATCTTAACAGAAAAAATCCAGGCCCATTACTTAACCACCTTTCAGGTGAACTGGGTCTTCCCTCAAACCATCTTGATCTTGGAAGCTTCAACCTGCTGGCACATTGAGGGCACAAGTAGAAAAGGCAGAATGGTCTGCCGGTAGATTTCTGCTACTGTAATGTTGACAGTGCGGATAGAAAGAAATACCCAGATTTTCATGAACAAATAATCCCAACCTGATGAAGTCTGCTAAGATCATTTCTTGGGCCAGCTCAAATAACATAACTCAGACATGTAATTCTTGTAACTGCTATACTTTATCTTTTCTTTTTGCAAGCATAGAGATATGTATAGTCACTTACCGTATAAGTGTATAGGGAATTTTCCCTCATATTTCCATAGAAATACAATTATACTTTGTTCTTTCTGAAAAAGATTAAGGAGGCATTTTTCTGGCATTTCTGTAGGCTAATAATCTTTTCAGACCTAAATTGGCTCAACCAGTCAGACCATTTGAATCAGAATCCATTAGACTTTGTGGGTTCAGTAAACCACCATCAACCCAGATGAACCATTGAAAATCTGGGTTTTAGCAACACAGGCAGTTATCAGTAACCCATCCAGGTCATTGCTTTAATGTAGTTCCAGAAATAACAGTGAAGAGACTTGAACTTGCATCATATTTCTTGAAAGAAATGATATACATAATCACTGATCTACAACACTATTTGTGTTCTATGTTGTTTATCTAATATCTGTAATATTATAAGTTTTAACTAATATCTGTATTGACTTAAATATGCATATTCTTTATTAGAAAAAGTCAATTTGCAAGACTCAAACCTCAACTAATGCATGAAAACGAGAGTAGCCATCAAACCCTGACATGCACAGATGTCATTGGATCAACCTATTGGTCAAACATTTGACTCATAACCCAGTTGCCTTACTGGGGTTGTGAATAATCCAGGCCCCGAATTTTATCAAAAATATAATAATAATGCAGGCCCCAAAACACTGCATTGTATATGCCATCCTCCCAGGCTGGATAGGTCTAGGGTGTTTAGGAAGTTGAATTTTTTGTACTAAAGATTAAGCACTCTTTTGAATCAGGTTATTTCTTGTCTATTGTTTTTTACTATGTAGAGGCCATTGCTGGGTAAATTGGCATTTATTATATAATTAATACTTTAAAAACTTACATGATGATGAATTAATGTTTTAAAAAGTATATGAAGCTTATGCCTCAAGGCAAGGCAAGGCTCAAGGAAAACACCTCAAGACCCAACTCTGGGGCTTACATCACACATTTAGATGTCTTCTTTATGTGTTTGTATATGTAAATGTGCATACTACCTACATGTGACACTGTATGTGCTTATACCTATGTTTTTAACATATTTTAAGCCATTTTGAGGTATTATTTAACATTTAAGATTTCTTAAAAATTATTAAATGGTTCAGAAAGCACCTAAAATTCTTAAATTGTTGTTTCTGTGATCATTTATTAGGTGTTTTTCCTATGTAAAAACATACTTATGCATATTTCTGAACTTCTCATTTTAATTTGATATTTTTATTTAAAATGTGGTAGATCAAGGGTTATGCCTGAAAGATTTAAAGGTCCTAGCACCTTGCCTCACATCCCTGTGTTCTTAAATGTTGTATATAATCAATTTTATCTCTGTTACCTATAAAAGATGATAAAGATATCATTTTTGTTGGTGCAAATGTATTGTAGATTACAGTTAATGCACATAGGCTAAAAGGAAAATTTTGTAAACCAATTAGGAAGTCAGAAATGTTCAATGTTGTATGAGCTGATTGTTGGGCAGTTGAGAAACAAAATGTCCAGAAATCAGTGTGAAAGAAATGCAAATGTTAAGATGGATTAGTGGAAAACTAGAAAGGATAAGATCAGAAATGATTTATTTAAAGGAAACCAGGAGTGGCTCCAATAGAAAATAAAATGAGGAAAAGTAGATTAAGATGGCCTCTTCATGTCTAAATTGGTTTGGTCACATGCAGAGAAGACCATTCACAACATAAGTGAGAAATGATCTATTACAAGTTGAAGGGTCTAGAAGAGATAGGGGCAGGCCAAAAAGGACACGGATTGAAGTAGTGAGAAATGATTTAAGGGCCCATAACTTAAAACTGGATATAGCAGTGAACAGAGAGGAATGGTGGAACAGGATTCGTGTAGCCAACACCATATGGTTGGGACAAGTCTTAGTTGAGCTGAGTTAGTACATTAGAATGAAAACAGAAAAATATAATTTTGGCCATTAGAATGTCATATATATATATATATATGCTTCTGCCTACTTTCTTAACTAAAAGTCATTTATAGTAGTGTTGCAATCAACAATGTTTTTATAATTTTATGAAATATCAATCATGAATTGATATAGTTTCCCTGCTAAGTTTCTTAATATGTGCCATATTGATATGTTTCCAATGAAATCTGAAGTATCATTCCAACTTGGAAGTGATAAAAACATCCATTAAAATCAAAATTTAAGGCCATGAAGAGACAAAAAGGTGAGCATCCATTCAACTAACTCAGAGAATCAAACATATTATTATCATAGATGTTGCCAAAATAGATGTAATGATGTATTTCATATTAAGTGTTTTATAGTAAATAATAGAACACTGGTAAATAACTGAATGATGAAAGACAAAAACCAGTAGAAGCATATGTGATTAAACTGAAACAAAGGAACTATTTATGAACATACATTCAAGAAGACAGTAACATCGATGTTTATTATATCACCATCCTGCACAAGAGATTATCATCAGTGTAAAAAACAAGACCTTCAACTCTAAGGTTTGCTGTATAAAGCATCGCAGATTCAGCACCAAGTAAACAAAACCTGTAGCTGGCGTGAATCAGGTATTCCATGGCACATGCACTCATTAACTGATGTGCATACACTTTTTGGAAATCCTCCATAGCCAAGAGGTGAAGGATAAGCACCAGCATCAATGATCATCTTGTGCACTGCTTTGTCAATTTCGTTTGTTGTTACGGATGGCTGATAAAGGCATACAGATGCAATGTAACAGATCCTTTTTAAGCAAAGTCATGTCATGTAAGACAACCATGACATGTAAGGGAAAAAGTATTGAAATAAACAATTTAAACAAGAAGACCAAAATCATATTTAGTTGAGAAAACATTCAGTTAAAGGAATCTGCTTGATCCAAATACTTATGCATGTCTATATGTATATATACTTCCTATCACTTCAAAGAATAAAATGATTAACAAAGAAACGAGTGCAAAATGCTTAAAACTTTTTCAACATTGGTGTTGGACCAGATATCTGTTCCCAGAAAAATATTTAAGGTCTCTTATGCAAAAAACTTCTACCATGTTGGGAAAATACTCTGATTTCTAGGGATAAAAAGAATATAATCAGATTAAGGATGCACCTAAAAGGAAATCACAGATTGTGTATATTAAACCATCCATTCCCTTCTTTAACTCAAAAGAAATACATAAAATATATATATCATTCTGGCATGGACAAGCTTCAATACATCTCAGGTCTTCCCACCTTAATCCTGGCTAAGTTCTCTACTAATGAGTTAGACAACCACAGGATCCACCTGAACAAGCAATCCACCTTGAAGCCAAAGTAGAAGCCTCTATAATGTTATCCCTCAGTGGTCATGTGTCCAAATGGCCACATCTTATTTGACCATTCAGCACTTGAGAATCACCCTCATTCTCCAACCTAGTGATAGAATCTTATTATGGTTTATGGGTAGTTACAAATTTACAATAGATTCCTGGTCCTGAATACGCCATAACAATGATTCCCTCCAAAAGCTTGCCAAGATATTACCAGATCCAAACCTTCTATTATTTTCATCATTACTACAATTACAGCAGCAATACTAATAGGCAGTTGGGTCAGAGGTCCAACCTAATCTATTATTTTTAGGAAGTTTTAGAACTATGGATCCTTGGAAGTTATTTTGTTCTTAAGTGTGTAAAAGAAATTGCAGACAATGGATATGGATCCATCTGGATTCGGATCATTTTGTATCTGGATCCATCCAGCTTGTTCTTACTATGAATTACATCAAACCCCAGTTGATTTGGATCTCCATGATGAGCAAAGTGACCCCAAATACCTTTTTTTTTTGTGTAGGGGATCCACCCCTATTTTCACTTGTACACAGCATATAATACAAATGTACCTTATCTTTTTTAATCTAAATTGATATATACATTAAACTAAGAAACTAAACTATCACATAGTCTTATCCTACTACTCCCAAATCTATCCTCCCATATCAATTGACACATATCTACTAGAGGATTAGCATAAGTACCTCTCGCAGTTTGATATATAGCTCTATTGGCTAAATAGTCAGCACAGGCATTTGCTTTTCAGTCACCCACTGAGTGCATACCTAGTTGATTTGGTTTCCATGAATTAGCATAGTGACAACACTTTCTTGCATTGTTATGGGCCCACGAATAGGATCTCGTCACGGGTCGGTTAACGGGGAAACTTCTTGTTTTCCCTTGTTTCTCCCTTTTCTCGAGGAGCCTATCTTTAGCGCCTTAATGGTGATTTGTTAAAGAGATCACCAACTCTCCGCTGCTCTTTCTTGACTAAAATATCGATAATTTCATTGAATAACATCTGCTCCTTTAAATAGGAGATTACAAGAAGATAAGAGTCCTTCTTTAGGAAGACATCCTAACAACATTTAGCCTAGAGATAAGATAGAAACACTGAATTTAGCTAAGAGATAAGATAGGAACAGATAAGATAAGAACATTGAATCTAGCTAACAGATAAGATAGGAACACTGAATCTAGCTGAGAGATAAGATAGGGACACTGTATCTAGCTAACAGATAAGGTAGGAACACTGAATCTTGCGCCCATTACTGTTGTTGTTTGCGGCTGTATGTCTTCCCAATAAAAGCATCCACAACAAACCCTACAAAATGTAAGACAAATTCTAACAATCAAGAGTAAAACCAAATTACCCAACGAATGATTGCCTTTTCTCCTAACCGAAATGACATAAAAAAAAAACCCTCTAACAAATGGAAAAATAGAGGCTACCATAAAGGTCTCCTAGCTTACTATGAGAACTAAGAACTGCTAAGCTAGCCTAATATGTGTTGTGTGCATTCACATGGTCTACAATCATACCAAGACAAGTTAGAAATATCAACATAGCCTAGCATGTTAACCGATTGGTTCAAGTGTAAAATCAAATCACCCAATGTGTGCATGCCTGGATGATTTGGTTTTGATGAATTAACATGGTGACAGCACTTTCTTGCAACCTTACAATAAAACACAGAAATTCTAACAATTGATTATAAAATAAATTACCCAGTGAGTGATTGCCTTCTTTCCTAACCCAAATGACACAAAAAGTTAAAAACAACCCACTAACATATGGAAAAAATAGAAGCTACCTCCAAGGCCTACTACTATGACAATCAAAAATCACTAAGGTGGCCTAATGTGTGTTGTGTTAGCTCACATGGACTATTATCTTACCAAGAGTCCAAGACAAATTAGTAATATCGAGCTAGCCTAACATGTTAAGTGTTTGGTTCAGGTGAAAAATTAAATCCCAATGAGTGCATACCTGGTTGATTTGGTTTCCATGAGTTAACATGGTGACAACACTTTCTTGCAATCCTACAAAATATAATAGGGAAATTCTAACAATCAAGGGTAAAACCAAATTACCCAATGACTGATTGCCTTTTCTCCCAACCCAAATGACATAAAAACAGTCCTCTAACATAAGGAAAAGTAAAGGCTACCTCTAAGGTCTCCTACCTTACTATGAGAATTAAGAACTACTAAGCTAGCCTAATGTGTTGTGTGTGCTCACATGGTCTACGATCATACCAAGACAAGTTAGAAATATCAACATAGCCTAACATGTTAGTGATTGGTTCAAGTGAAAATTTCAAAGACTATTGGTTCAAGCTAGAAATATCAACATAATACTTTTGTATAAAATACTATTGTACAGAGGACCATACTTGTATATTTTTTCTCAGTTAATATAAGTTTATACTTTACTTTTCTCAAAAAAAAAAATCACCCAATGCGTGCATTTCTGGATGATTTGGTTTTGATGAATTAATATGGTGACAGCACTTTCTTGCAACCCTACAATAGAACACAGAAATTCTAACAATCAATTGTAAAACCAAATTACCCAGGGAGTGATTGCCTTTTCTCCTAACCCTAATGACATAAAAACAACCCACTAACATATGGAGAAATTGAGGCTACCTCCAAGGTCTACTACCTTACTATGACAATCAAAAACCGCTATGGTGGCCTAATGTGTGTTCTGTGTGTTCACATGGACTACTAGTACTATCTTGCCAAGACAAGTTAGTAATATCGGGCTAGCCTGGCATGTTAAGCGATTGGTTCAGGTGAAAAATCAAATCACCCAATGAGTGCATGCCTGGTTGATTTGGTTTCCATGAGTTAACATGGTGACAACACTTTCTTGCAACCCTACAAAATATAAGACAGAAATTCTAATGATCCAGGGTAATACCAAATTACCCAATGAGTGATTGCCTTTTCTCCTAACCTAACAAAAACAACCCTCTAACAAATGGAAAACTGGAGGCTACCTCCAAGGTCTCCTACCTTACTATGAGAATTAAGAACTGCTAAGCTAGCCTAATATGTTTTGTGTGAGCTCACATGGTCTACAATCACACCAAGACAAGTTAGAAATATCAATACCTAACAATGTTAAGCAATTGGTTCAAGTGAAAAATCAAATTACCTAATGTGTGCATGGCTGGATTATTTGGTTTCGATGAATTAACATGGTGACAACACTTTGTTGCAACCCTACAATGAAACATGGAAATTCTAACAATCAATTGTAAAACCAAGTTACCCAGTTAGTGATAATCATGTAGAAACATCCTACCTAGCTGATGGGTTCGAATACTATGAAGGTTTTATTCATGTATAATGCTGATCACCTCCATCAAGGAACTCCTTAATGACTTCATTTATTGGATTTAACCGGTCCTAAGTTCCTAACCTCTGGCTACTTTGGCACAAGTGGCCGCTCTCAGGTCTCATGACAGCTGAAACTAAAAAAAAAAACATAGAAGAATAATCCATATCCAGGAATCAATCCTTTTGTCGTATTGATACTGCTCTAATTTCTTCCAACTTGAACACAAATATTTTCTTCCAATATACTCCAAGTGAGCCCTTTCACACAATTCATCAAAAAGAATCTAAAGAATACAGAATCTCAAGGTAAAGTTACCAAAACTATCTCAATCTCCATCTGTTTTGTCTTTCTTTGTTTTTGATCATTAACAATCAGAAGTGTTTTTAATAATGAAAGAAGATGCACCTGCTATGAAGAGAATCTAATAGAAGTGAAGATAAATAGTTAGAACACAAGACAGCAAATAGCTGAACAAACCAAAAACATACACAGTAGATGTTCCCAATCTCCATCTGTCAACAATTCCATTCCCATCCATGCCCAATGTTGAGTGGCCCGGTTTGTTTTGTTGAGTGGCCCGGTTTGTCTTTAGTTTGCTTTTATTTAATTAGGAAGTTGTTGGGCCTTAGGCCCATTAGTTTTTATTTTTTAAAGTTGTGACTATTCAGTTTTAGTAGCCGCCCTACTAAGGGCATCTTTGTAATATCTCATCTTTAAGTTAAATATAAATATAATGAGGGGCTGGCGGCTAGGGTTAAGTTTCTCATAATCCTAGTTGACCTCCTACTCTTTTCTTCTCCTTCCCTCTCYACTGCTGAAATCTTCATCTTCCTCCTCTTTCTTTCACAAGAAGCTTGACCGAATCAGCAAATAGTGATCTCTACTCCCAACTTAGAGATCCAAGCGCACTAGTGATGTGGGAGTCTATGCTCCACTCTACAATTAATATGCACATTACCCTGATGTTTGTGAATTCATAGGAACAACTTATGGATGACACGAGTATGATGATACAATGCGGAGATAATCAAGAGATCGGGATTTTTTATCAATTAGAGATTGGCATATTTAATATCATAGCAATGGATTCAATTGAATGTGTATCTTGATAATGAAAATGATTTAACTGTATCATTACACATTTTAATAATAAGAACTTTATTTATGAAGAGTACAAAACTTAAAGGTAAAGCATAGAGAACAGTAATCTGATAAAAAATAATTAGTTTTCAAATCTCACCCTGACCAATGTGCCTGCATAGTCTAGGACACGAGCAGCAAGCTCACATGCAGTCCTCATGTGGGCAATGCCCCCAGAGTCATGAATCTGAGCTTCACTGGACAGTTCAGGTAACAAAGTTGTAGTTACATATGGTGGCTTTGGAATGTGATCTGGAACTGAAAGAGGTGCTGAGACCTTTCCCCGCCTTAAAGGTGGTATTCTCCTAAAAGGTTTTGTTGTTCGAAGTTCACGTTCTCTGTAAATGATTGGACAATGATGGCAAAAGTAAACATAAGAAATCACTTAATGATAACATGACCTTCATAATAAAACAGAACAAACTAATGAGAACCAGACAATGAGTAAAAAGTAGCATAAGAAGTGATTTAATGAGAATGTCTATTGACCAAGACACCGCAAAGCTCATGTGTTTAGCCTATGCCTTTACTTGGTCAGACACTTTTTGTAGTATGTTGATGATACACCAAGCTGAACATAGAAAAAGAATATTAGAGCTTAGCCCTCCAAGACATGAAAATGTTTTAGCAAGAGACAAAAAAGAGTTTCTGATTGCAGTAGGTCCACGTTAATATAAGGATGTTTGAGCACTATTTGGTTGTATTGGTTATGGATGAGTAAATTAGACATTGATATAAGGAGCTTTTGTGGTGTATGTTGTTTTCTAATGAAAAGAATCTTGAATGTAGAAGTTAAAAATATGGTTGAAACTATAGAGAGATGCACTAAAATCCTGGATGCAGCCCACTATAACTGATCGGATCTTCACATTTCACAGTAAATGAATATGTTGATGATTACATAGATTGGTCATTTTTTGGAGTGGGCAATGCAAAATTGTGGATTTGGTGAGAAATGGATGAGATGGATTTGGGGAGAAATGGAGGAGATGGATTAGGGGCTGCATTCAACCATGCCATCATTCAGTGATGGTAAATGGAAGAGTGAAAGGATTTTTTTAGCAAAGAGAGGACTCAGGTAAGGAGACACACTATCCCTCTTCTCGTTTTACCTTAATAGTGGTTGTATTTAGCTAGTTAATACCCCTAGTTGATTCTCTAGGCATCATTAAGGGTTGGAAGGTGGGGAGGAATAGAGTGTGAATTGCCAATTTACAATTTGCTAACAACATTAATTTTTTTTTGTGAAGATAGGGGAGAGGAGGATATTAGGAAACTTAGGCCATCATACATTGCTTTGTAAAAATCTCTAATTTGAACATAAATTTGAATAAAAGTAGTTTAGCCACAATTAACTTAGAAAGAGAGGTGGTGGAAGGATAGGATAGAACCATAGGGTGCTCTATGGTCTGAGTGGCCAATGAAACATTTGGTCCTTCCTTTAGGGGGTAATCCAAAAAGTATCACCTTTTGGAGTCCAATATTGGATAAGTTCACGAAAAGACTAGCAACTTAGCAGATAAATTATGTATCCCTAGGAGATAGGATCACCCAAATTAGGGCCGCTCTGTTCAATTTACCCATCTATTATCTCTCAGGTTTTAGGGACCCCTCAGTGATAGCAAATATAATGGAGGAAATAATGAGGGATTTCTTGTGGGAACCCAGGGAATTAAAGAAAGACCATTTGATTAATTAGCAATTTGTGGAAATAACAAAGAATGAGGGTGGACTAGGTTTGGGGAGAATTGTGAAGAAAAATAGCACTCTCCTTTGTAGGTAGCGGAGGAGGTTCCCTTTGGATACGAACAGACTGTGGCATAAAGTCGTTAAAAGCATTCATGGACTGTCCTCAACTGGCTAGGATCCCAGTGTACAGGTTCTCATTGTACATGAGCTGATGTATTTGGTTTTCTTTTTGCAATACAATACTTTACCTTCTTCGAAAAAATGGCTAGGATGCCAGCTTGAATACTAGAGTTTCCTTATCTTCCCCTTGGAAAGCTATTGTTTCCATTTGACCATCTTTCCCCCCAATTCCTTGGGTATGATTCTCAAGGAATAAAATCAAATTTTGGGAAGACATCTGGTGGGGAGACATCCCTCTTAATGATAGACTCCTTGTTCTCTTCTCTATCTCCTCTTAACAGAAACAAAGTCATTTCCCATTGCTTCTCTTACTCTTTTGGTTTCTCATTGAACTTGGGTTTAGAAGGAGTTTGAGGGACTTTGAACCTCCAAGAGTTTTATCATTATTAGCTTTCCTCAAGGTCCAAGGATGTTTTTTATTAATGAACCTGTCCCTAATGGAAGAATCTGGACCTTAACCCATTATGGCTTATTCTCTTGTGCTTCTTCTTTCAAAGCATCTTTTTTGCAACCTTTATAAAAGATCTGCGGCTTGGGCCGATCCCTCCTAAGATTAGGTTTTTGCTTGGGAAATCACTTATGGCAAAAGTAATACCTGTGATATGATCAAAAGGGAGAAGGCCTTATTCATGCCTCTCACTTTGTGTATGTTTCCTTTGCAAATAACAAAGGGAAACAGATTTGCACCTGCTAATCTCCTTCCAATTTGTGTCACATGTTTGGGACTTCTTTTTCACTTTGTTTGGTAGTAATTGGAATCCACCATCTGCCTAATCTATTCAGTGTAGCATTCTTCTCTCCACCGAAGATGAGAAGCTAAACACTTTGGAGGTGTGTTAGAACAGCCATTGTAAGGTGTATGGGAGGAGAGAAATGCAAGAATATCCAAAGACACTACCCATGGAGTAGATAACATCATTGAAAATGTAAAGCTAAAGGTTATTTATTGGGTCAAGACACTAGAGACCTTCAAACACTTCTCAAATGATGACTTATTAAGGAATTGGTAGCAGCTGGCTTCCTCTAATGCTACACCTGTGTGGTCCCCACCACTCAACAGCTGGATTAGATTGGACTTTGATGGGAGAATTTTGGGGAACTGAGGCCTGTCTGGAGTAGGGGGAGTTATTAGAAACTCTAAGGGGAATATCTTGGCAGTATACTCTGGTCTGGTGAGACTGGGGATTCCATTAGGGGAATTATCTTGGCAGTATACTCTAAGGGGAATATCTTTGGCTGGTCAAATCAGTGAACTTTAAAAATACTCTAATAGAAGATGATTAAAAAATGGTAACATGATGGATGAAGAATGATGAAGGGCCCGTTGGGAACATGGCTTAACAGCTTTATGGGTTTCTCAGCTCATGTAACGCCAAAATCCACTATGTGAAAGCCCTCCCAAATGGGCACAAAAAGGGAGCATGGCAACAAAGACATATGAGAAGGGAAATAAGAAAGTTAGCTGCTGAACTGAGATGCTTATAAATTTGGAGCCCAAGGTCAGCAAGCAATTTGGAGGATGGAAATGCCAAGGCAGAGGTAGGCAGAATGCGTTATTCTGAGGAATTATAAACCTAGTTAAGGGCTTATAAAGTATAACTGTAAGAAAGCTAGCCTCGGCTAGCTATCTTAGTGGGTGTAATATATGATGTAATCTCCCTTCCTTTGGAATACGTGGCTCCCTCTATATACTCTATTATTATTATTATTATCATGCCATGTGCTGTGGCTAATTGAAAATAGCCAAAACCAGAAATAGGTTCCCATTACTGACATGGACTTGCCTATCCTCTATACGGTGATCTTATGGCTATCAACCTACTCCCACCTTTCTAAACATGACATATATCATACAAGTATCAAAATGTGATATTTTTCATAACATCTATCTAAAGATATAGGCATCATATCAAACAGATCGTAATGTCTTAAGTAAGCTAAGTGAGCATCGAGACTCAAAAGGTCCGGCCAATATCCATCTGATCCAACCAAACAATCTTGGAATTGCTACTTTTGTCAATTTCTTGTTAATAAAATCATTATTCATTTATCAAAAAAAAAAATTATTGTTCTTCCACAGGTTCACTTCCTTGTAGAAAAATACAAACATTAATGAACACAGACCATTATGCTTGGAAGAAACTAAGGAACTTGTATTTTAATGAAAAAATAAAATAAAATTAACAAACACTAATGTCCAAGGCTCTTGTGTAGCAACCCAACAACATACCTCCTTATTCGCATAGCCTCTTCCAACCCTGATATCTTCTTCGAAATAATTACAATATGCTTTTGCATAAGTTGACTTTGTTTTCCTAAATTACATGATAACGATGAAGCATTTACCAAAAAACAGCCAAACAGAAAAAAAAAATGGTTGCAACAATTGGTCGAAAAGCATTTTTAAATAAAATATTCAATTTGGCTACTAACAAATTCAAAAAGTAACGATGAATTCGTTATGTCACAGTGAACTGATGGTGCTGACCATGATAAGTCCTAAACATGCAAACATGGAACATCGAGAATAGTGGTCAGACCTGATGAAATAGAAGGTGAGAAGCTCAATGGGGCACCCATGAAAAGAGTAGGCGATGATAAGGACTCCCCGAGAAGGGAAGAAGAAAGTTGGAGAGATGGCGATGCATGAGGGAGCGATGCAGCGAACGCCATGGCCGTTCAGTGGGTATTTTCGCGGGAAATTTTTTATAGTTTTGAGGAGGAGAGGGGTAAGGATTAACCAGCAGCAATCGATTTGGTTCGGGTTGAATCGAGTCTTTGATTTCTCCCAAGTCCCAACCCAACGAAGAAGAACAAAGGATAATGTAATAAGGCGTTACTACGCTACGTTTTGGCCCATCGTTACTTAGAGTCTTGAGCAATCCAAATTGTGGCTTGAGATCCAATCACAATGCGAGTTAAAATCAGCCCCCCACAATGTCCCACAGCACATCTCCGCCGTTCGATGATAATATTAGAAATGATGATGTCATCATTGGGAGATGTTCCCAATACATGGTGGAGATGTGCTATAGGACATTGTGGAGGGCAATTTTGTGGGGGCTGATTTGATCTCTCACAATGCGCACCTTTGTGAGTTGCTGATCGTTGCGTCGCTGCAGGGCATTAGGCCAATTCATGGTTCAAAGTATCGATACGATATGCCTTGTATCAGGCATGTATCGTATCTTTTGAAAATGATACAGTCCGAAAGGTCTGAAGTGTTTCGGACCCCCAATTTTTTTTAATAATAAAAAACAGATAATAAGCTTTTCAAAAAACACCAAACTTTGAAACAAAAGATAAAAAAATAGAGTTTCGGCCGTTTCTAAGTGTCGATACGATATGGCCAAAACTCGTATCCTATCGATACTTTGAACCTCCCATGGGGCTAGGGGTAATCACGGGCCGAGAGAGTCCGGCTTAATGGGAAAATATCAGTTTAGTACCCTGAACTTTGGTACAATTTCATGTTAGTACTCGAATTTAAAAACGGCTCATTGTAGTATTCAAACTTTTGAAAACTGTTAATTTATTATTGGCTATTCGCCTTAGTAATCTCTCAGTTAACTGATGCACGCAATGTCATATGTAATTTATAACATTTTGAAATTCCAAAATTATCTTTTGAGAAAATTCCACTTTAGTACCGTGAATTTTGAGGGTAGTGTCAAATTAATATCCAAACTTTCAGTTGCAGTACCTAAATTTTCAAAAAAGTGTCAAATTGGTCCTTAAGGGTAACTGATCATAGTGGTCTATTGAAAATATCAAAATTACCCTTCAAAAAAAATACTGTTTAAAAAAAGGTTCAACTATGATATTGAAAAGATATGATATCCAAAAAAAAACAACTGATAAATAAACTAGAATCATAAACGTCGTAACGAATAAGGTATTATTTATCAAAATTCATGAATGGATTTTGATTGATCAAAACTCTTTTTATATCATATCTTTTCTGCATCATAGATTTTCCTTTAAGAAAAAACAACCACGAGAAAGACTAGAGAGTTGAGAGTGTTACAAATTCCTTACGTAGAATCATAGATTAAGCTAGCGTGTTTTCACTTTCAGTCCAAAGCTAACCAGGTGCGTCAATTTAACCCAAATAATCCTACTAAGATCATTCAATATAGGCCCATTAGACACAATTTTTGCAGTCCCAGTAACTAACTAAATCCAAACGCATATCCTGGAATAAGGCCTTCACAATACACAGTCCAACCCAACATAATGAGTTAAAGTGTAATTTTCAGCTGACCGAATGAACCAATTATTCTGAGCCATTGACATAAATAAGTCCATGTGACTCTGACTGAATCAGAAAGAAGTATTTAAACGGTTAAACCGCTCTAATGATCAATTCCTCAATCTTCTTTTTTTCTGCGTTATGTGTTTAAAATAGGAGTTTAATGGATGTGGCTGTTAATGGGCTGGGTTCTTGGACATAATTCCATAAGGTCACGTGTTTCGGGTGGAAAATCGAACTTGGATAAATTCATTTTACACCCCTGTTTGGTTTTACATTCATTTGGAAAGAGTGTAATTTTACACCATAAATCGGTGTAAAATTTTATTTTGAATTTATTTTACACTGATAATCGATGTAATATATACATCAAAATCATCAATGTAAACGTTTCTTTCTCTCTCTCTCCTCTTCCTCCTCTTCTTCTTCTTCTTTGTCTCATTCTTCTTCTTCTTCTTCTTCTTCTCTCTCTCTCGCTCTCTTCTTCTTCTTCTGAACCCATTGCTGGCAACAGGTAGGGAAGTTGTAATGGCAACAACCATTACAACGCTAAGGTGCATCACCTTGCATGTTGCAGCAGACAATTTTTAGGACCCATGTGTTGTGATCTTTACAGAGCAGAGTTTCAGAACAGAGCAGGGATGTGACCCATGACAAGATTCAGAGCAGAGTGTTAGAGCAGAGCAGAGTTTCAAAGTTTCACTTTTACTTCGGAACAACCAAACAACATGAGAGAAAATTTTCAAAATACCCCAATTCAATTTTCCATCGCTAAACCAGGATCAAATTTTCTATCGGTGTAAATTTGAATTTACACTTAAAATAAATGCAGCCTAAGTCTTTTGACCTAATGAAAAAACCCAAACCAAGCGGTTTAACAAAATTCTTACTTGGTCCAATCTGATCCGGTCTTATATGAATTCATAACAAATGGACCAGGTCCAATCCAATCCGATAAATACTATATTTGGATCATTTTGGACCAATTCAAATCAATGTCTGGACAATTCAATAGAATTATATGTTGGAATGTCAAGGGTTAGATGATGGTGGGGATAGAGTCGTACCTAGCACACATGAAGAGTTGATATATGCTAAAGCTCAAGTTCTTGAGATGTACCAAAAAAATAAATAAATAAAGAAGAAAAAACGTTCTTGAGAAAAATTCCCATGGCGGCTTCTATTGTTTCTCATTATCTTTCATTGTGAAAAATGTATTAATTAAGTTAATATATATATAATATTTTATGGACCAGAAACGGTATAAATCTACTTCACATTTATATTGAGTTTTTCTTGGATGTCGTTTTCCAAAATCATTTATTTAATGCATTAAGTTTTTATATTTATGAAAATATGAGTTGATTTTTTACAATTATCTGTCAAGAGTAATGAAGTCAATCTACTAAGGCAAGAGATCTGAAAATGATCCAAACTTGTGCTCAGCATAATAAAATTAATAAAAAAAGCATGTTGGTTCTATTTGAAGCCATAATGCTAAGCAAATAGGATCATGACTAACCAACCAAATCCAACCACTAAAACAATTGGTTGACTAACCAACCATTCTTAAACACAAATGTAGTCGGCTGACTACAAAGGAACAAAATAACAACTAGTATAATTTTCATTCAAAATAGAGGAACAAAATAAAATAAAAACAGAGGAATGCGAAGGAGAAAGCAAGAGAGAAGCTTAATACCTCCTTAGCAAATTGAAGTTGTCCTTTAGAGATATTCAGTATTTAGACTAACAGAGTACCATTTTATCAAAGAAGACAGAGCATAAGTGGTGGCAATAATGAAGAAACCCTAACAAATGGAGAAAAAGAGATAACATAGATCATCACAAAGAGGGAATAGAGAGATATTTACTTGTGAATCGAATGTTGTGGATGTGCTTGAGAGAGAGACTACACAAGAGAAAGAGAAGGTTTTGCTGATGTGCGACCGTGTGTGGTAGAGAGAGAGGGCGATAGATAGATATATATATATAGAGAGAGAGAGAGAGAGAGGGAGAGGGAGAGGGGACGACTGAGAAAGAGGGGGAGCAAAAGAAGGAGAGAACGATTGAGCAAGAGAAAGAGAGTGAGAGAGGGACAACTAAGAGAGAGAGAGAGAGGGAAGAGGTGCAAGGGAAGAAGCCTAGCACACTTGGTCTCTAGCGACATTTTTAATCGACTATCGTTAAAAATCAATTATTCTAACTGCAATTGCCAAATAGCTAGGTCAAAAACTATCGCTAAAGATGTATTTTCTTGTATTTTTTTCCAGTTTCAAATATTGCTAAATTTATTATCTATATTGTATATTCAGCCTCTATAATTAGTTAAGTTTTTTTTTGGTTATTTATGAATTACCAATTAAATATAGTAGAAATGAGACTATTTTCCCTTCAACTTACATTTTTAAATATTCAAATATCCCATGCATAACATGGGCAATTTACTAATGTTTGTTTAAATATTTCTAAATCCCAAAATTCCCCTTATATCATTTTATGCATGAAACCATTTTGCAAAAAAAGATGATAAAATACCATAAAATGTAAAATAAAGGAAAAGTAGAAAATTATAGAAAAATATGCGAGACACAAAAAAAACAAAAAAAAAACATGAATGCAAGGGAAGTACCGAAAAAATAGAAGAAAAAAGAATTATGGAAAATACAGCAGGGAAAAAGAAAAAAGAGGAAAATACAAAAAAAAATACAAAAACAACTCAAATTATAGAGAAACAAAAAATTAAAAATAACTAAAAATATAGACAAACAATAACCAAAATAGAATTCAATGATTAGATGAATTTGGACGTAAGTTGTAGGTAAGCCCAAATAATTCAAAGGTCATTTCCAAACAAGTTATTTGCATACAACCAATATCTAGGTTATAAGATTATTTATAACTTGCATTGGGCCTGTTCGTTCTCTACAAAATCCAAATAGGCATTTTAGTAATTTTACCTATACTACCAAGCTTGTTAACTAGGGAATGGGGCGTATCAGAAGTGGATCTTGATGAAATTAAAGTACGGATGCTATTAGCGTAGGGGTATTTCTGTCTTTATACCTAGATTAATGTTGYTGATCWGTAATGTTGTGTTGGAACCAGTGCTCCTAACTTAAGTAAGGGCACATAGGTCTTTTCAGTTATTTTTAATAATATAAATACTGCTTGGCTGACTGGGAGATGTTATGTTGAGTCTTCCAGTTCGAACCTGAATTTCTCTCTTCTCTCTTTCTCTCTTTCTTCCACCTTTCTCCTTCTACATAACTGATCTCAGACAGACTGAACTCTAAGGCATAACTGAATTATAACATGATATCAGAGCTACTTGAATCTGCCTAGATTTTTGCTTGCCTAGGTTTCTATTCTCTGCGCACCCTATCTAGGGTTTTTCCTCTTTTTTCTGCATTCGATTAGAGATAAGGGAAAGGGCTGAAAAGGAGTGATCGCCCTCTTCCCTTGGAGGTTTCTATGCCTCCAGTCAAGTTGTATGTGGTCGGTTGCTGTGATTTCTGAGATCGCCCTCTCCTAGTAGAGGAAGAATAGAGGGTCGAACTGTGTGTGCAGTGGCTATCGTGTGTGAGTGGTGTGTGTGCAGTGGCTGTCGTGTGTGGCTATTGTGTGTGCAGTGGCTGTCGTGTGTGGATTGATTTCCTACCCGTATGGTTGTTACTTCAGTGATAAGGTAAGAGATCTCAGTGCATGATATCTGTTATGGATTAAATAGGAAGTGTGTTTCAGACCATATGCTAGGGTTTCAAACAGTAATGTGCTAGGGTTTATGCTGGTTTCTTTATGCATTTCGAAGGAAGAGACATGATCATATAGTGGTGAGTTTTCAGGTAGTTGGAGTAGGGTTTGTGGTGTAAAGAGCACACTTTTCAGCAACAACAAGTGCTGAAATCAGTGTGACAGGTGTGATCTAGGGTTTGTGGTGTAAAGAGCACACATTCCAGGAACAATAAGTGTTGCAATTAGTGTGACAGGTGTGACCTACTGGTGTGTAGTGTGCAGATCTCAGTGATAATAGAATTCAACAAGTGTGCAGAATCGGTGATAACATAAAGGGAGATAATAGTGATTATAAACCTAGTGTGATGGTGCCTACAGACTACCTGAATGTTCAAATGACCTCCATTAAATTAAATGGAGAGAATTATGTGCCTTGGGCTAAATCCATCGAAGTCTTTTTGAAGGCAAAGAAGAAGGTAAAACACATCAGAGAGGAGAAAACCTCCTCTGACTCTCACGAGTATGAAGACTGGGAGCAAGAGGATGCTCAGATCATCACATGGCTGTGGAACAGTATGGAACCCAAGATTAGTGTGAACTTCATGTTTCTTGATACTGCCAAAGATGTGTGGAACCATGCGAAGAAATTATATTCGGGGCAGGACAATACAACCAGAGTTTATCAGTTGTATCAAGAGTACTTTAACCTGCAACAGGGCAATCAGAGTCTTGAGGAGTACTATGCCAACATGAGAAACATACGTAATGAGTTGAATGTCTATCATCCTCTCACTTCTGATGTCAAGATTCARCAACAACAGAGAGAGCAACTTGATGTGACCAGATTTTTTGTAGGACTAAAGTCTGAATATGAACCAGTACGGGCTCAGATATTAGGAGGATCAGCTCTTCCCTCCTTAGAAGAGGTATTTGCTCGACTCTGGAGGATTTCTACCGGATCTACTGAGAACTCTAATATCTCAGATAGATTTGCCTTTGTTGTATCGAGAGGTCGTGGTGTTAGAGGTGGAGCTAGGGGAGTTCAGTCTGGCCGTGGTGGTGGTAGTGGTTCTGCATATGGCCGAAGTGGCAATGGTGGGTCTACTCATAATCGTAGTGGTGGTCGTACTAGGGGCAGAGATTCAGGGGGAGCCCGTGGTAGAGGACGTGGCTCAGGCCTGAGGAAGTGCACTCATTGTGGTATGGATGGGCATACCATCAACTATTGTTATGATCTACATGGTCCTCCCTCAACCTGGGCCAATCATGCCGCGACCGATGACTCAAGTTCTAGTTTTAGATAGAAGAATCATTCATCTGATCAGATGCCTCCTACATCCACAGATAGTCCCGTGAAGAAGATGGTGAGTGTTCCTCGTGATGAATATGAGAGGTTTATCCAATCACAGCAGAACAATTCTTGCAAAAAGCTCTGATTCCTCATTGGAATGCAGTTCTGAGAATTGTGAAGTATCTAAAAGGGGCTCCGGGTCGCGGTCTGATATACAAGAGTGGCAAAAAACTTGAAATAGAAGGGTATTCTGATGTTGATTGGGCCGGTTCTATGTCTGATAGGCGGTCTACTACAGGCTATTGCACGTTTCTGGGAGGTAACCTGGTGACATGGAAAAGTAAGAAGCAGACGGTTGTGGCAAGAAGCAGTGCAGAAGCAGAATATAGGGCTATGGTGCATACCGCTTGTGAATTAGTGTGGCTAAGGAACCTTCTACAGGAAGTAGGGTACAACATTAACACTCCAATGAAGCTCTATTGTGATAATCAGGYTGCAGTTCATATCTCCTCTAATCCAATGTTTCATGAAAGAACCAAGCACATTGAGGTTGACTGTCACTTTGTGAGGAGAAGGTGCTGAATGAAGAGCTAGACACTACACATGTTAATACAGTAAATCAGTGGGCTGACTTATTTACAAAAGACTTGAGTCGGGGAAGAGTGAACTACATATGTAGCTTGAGGGGGAGTGTTAGCATAGGGGTATTTCTGTCTTTATACCTAGATTAATGTTGTTGATCTGTAATGTTGTGTTGGAACCAGTGCTCCTAACTTAAGTAAGGGCACATAGGTCTTTTCAGTTACTTTTAATAATATAAATACTGCCTGGCCGACTGGGAGATGTTATGTTGAGTCTTCCAGTTCGAACCTAAATTTCTCTCTTCTCTCTTTCTCTCTTACTTCCACCTTTCTCCTTCTACATAATTGATCTCAGATAGACAGAACTCTAAGGCAGAACCGAATTATAACAAGTGCTTAAAGTATGAGTGCTTAAATCTTTTTTTTTACTAGTTAGTAGACCTGCTCATGGGTCGAGCCAACCTTTGCCTCTTTATCAATAGAAAATGTGCAGGCCTAAGCCCAAGCCTGACCTGTATACAAAATGTCTTATTTTCAATGTACTTTTATAAACTAATATTATATTAATTTAGTAATAATTTAATAAATTAATAAACTAATTTATATTTCTTAATAGTAAATTAATATTTATTAATAATTTAAAAAATAAATATATATTATATATAATATAAATGCTTTTTTATTATATGTAATAGTATTGGGCCGGGCTTATTTGAGAAAGCCCAAGCCTGGCCAAAAAAATGATTAGGCATGGTATTTAAAACCTGAGCTCGAGCCCCTGGGCCTGAAGTTTTGTCCAAACCTGAAAAATAATTGGTCGAGCCAAACCGTCAGGCTACTCAGCCCATGAATAGGTCTACTAGTTAAGTATCAATACCAAGTACAATGTAGCATTCTGTAGCTTACCCTAAAGCATGAATGCTTAATTCATTGTAAACTCGGAAAATCGTTTCACTTGGGCTGAAATAGAATCACCACCCATCATTTGAAGGAAAAGGAGGTGATGGGACCTCCGAGAATAACAATAAAATCATTTTGCATTTATAGTGACTCCAAAGCCTGAGGAACTAACTACGCCAGTCCGGATCTAATAGGTGGGATCCACATGGGATATTAATGAGCACAAATACAAATAACAACTATCCAATGGGCCAAGGGTATCGCAAAGGGCTTCATAATAGAATCTAATACTAAACTAAACTATCTGAATTAAGAGAACATAAACACATGCTACACACACCTTAAGCATAGCATTAACTACAAACTGTGGTTGATAAAGTCATAGAGAATAGATAGAACGGCAAAGATGCATGGGATGATCTATTCGTTTTAGATCATCCCAAAGAGAATGAATTGAATTAACAATAACCAAAATAAGGGAAAACTGAAAACAACAAATTCAGCTAAAACAAACACCGAGAAAGCCTAAGAAACACTAACAATTAAGAAAAAAAAATCAAATTCAACTGAAACCAGCATAAAACATCAAATTACTGAAAAAATGAAGAAGCAAGTCTTGGCTGGTATCGAGAGTTACTAGAGCTGAATCAGCTCGGTCTCTCTCCTCCCAGCTACAGATATGAAAGATTTATCGATCATATGATAAAATGAAGAAAAAATGGCTAGAGATGGAGCAAGAATGAGCGTTACCTAGATTGGGATTTTGGCCGGAGAATAAATTGATGAAGCAAGGGAACGCAGATCTGCTACGACTATGGCTTCAG